CAACCACTTTTCATGGCACTATCACTAGTGTAAAAACAGCGACAGGTTGCTGAAAAACATTCATGTTTGGTGCCTGAATATCTGCAGCAAATACAGAAATGACTTGCTGAAAAGAAACTGGTTTTGTTATTTGTTTGTCTTGAACAGTGGTCTGCAGCTTGGCAGGTGTGTCACCTCGGTGACACGCCATCCAACGTGCCCTCCACCTCCCAGTGACAAAGTCAGCCCATCAGCTTTAATAATGTAGATATGATATGATTTAAATGTACAAATGTAATGTATTTGTAGTTTGCTGAAACGAGCAATTGCAACACCTTTTTTGGTGACTTTGCAGGTAATTTGGCACAGAAAAAAATTCAACACCATTGCGTAAGAAAAGAGGGTAAACTTTGGTGACCATTTGTCACCATTTGCTTGGCAGGTGTCTCGCCTCAGTGACACGCCATCCATCATCCCCTCCACCACCTAATGACAAAGTCAGCTCATGCTACATCACTTTAGAAACATCGATATGATAAGTATAAGGTGCCCATGGTTTGCAGCAATGCCTACATTTTCTTCTGGCCACTGGGCTGGGACTTTGGTTCTGCAAAATCAGCTTACCTTAAAGATTTTCAAATGTCATTCTTTAATGTTTTGAAGAGCACAAACAATATCCCATTCACCTCCATTATATTTTGGGTTGAGGCAGATGATTGAGAGCCAGATAACGTAAAATCTCAGCAGCTCAAACCAGACACTGCTTGCGTAACTTAACACCAACAGAGCTAAGTGCCAAAAATATGATTCTGTTTTTTGTAATTTGGGTGAATTGACCCTTTAAAGCGATCCTGCAGCATGAGTGAGTCGACATGTATTACGTCTGAGGCTCAGGACAGCAGAGGGCCACACACTGCACCAACATCCCAGCACATAAAGCACGATGATGGATGGTGCAGTCAGTGGATTCAGTGGTGCTGTAGCATCCAGTCGGATTGTTGGAGTTCAGTTGAACAAAGTGCTGCAGAAAACCGGAGAGCACAAAAGGCCAGAAGCCTTTCTCACAGGCTAATCTTATAATAACCTACAAACCATATGGGTGATGGCACGTATTGTATTCCAAGTGTGTGTGTGTGTGTGTGTGTGTGTCAAGGAGATAAAGAACATGTGAGAATGTATTTGGCAGAAATAAAAATGTTGGCCTTACGTAAGAGGTCTGAACATTGGCCTTAGGTAAGAGAGATGTTCCTCCACAGTTATTGCATCAGTTTCACATGATGCTCTGTAACACATGTTGGGAAAGCAACGTTACATAAGGGCTTGCTGGATTTGTGGGATGTATAGTCAGAGTGTTTCGGTTGCTTTGTACAAAACTATCTCTACTACAGATATTGAAGACACTTGTACTTCTTAAGAAACTATTTGAAAACCAAATCATCTTATAATATTAAAACCATTTGCTTTTTTCTGGTGTGTGGAAGCAGATGGAAGAACATGATTAAGAACATGAACTGAGAGGTCGTGGTGACACTGTAATTCATTCTATTTGTCAGACCGATAATGAATATTCAAAAAAGGTGACAGATTGGTTATTTAGGTCAGACTGAACTTAAGGTTTGCTTGTCTAACTTTATGTACGTGTCATATTATGTTGATATATGATTTTGGTTGCTTGACATCAGACAAAATCGTCAACTTGCATCACTCAGTTTCCATCTTCAATCTGACATTGTGTCCAGTCTAACCGATCTCTGTGGGGAAGGGGGGATTCGACTTCTCCTTACCAACCACTACAGACCAATGTATTTACGCGAATGGATCGGCACCATAAGCACACCAGCGTACGCCTATGGTGCACAGCGTAGGCGGAGTCTGCACACCATTTAACAGTTATCATAACTGGCAGATAAGCCGGATCCACCACTGAAGTTCAGTGGTGAGAGCGACATATGTCACCATGATCATATGGCATGTACAAACACAACCAAGTCAAGGGAGATTGATAAGATCTTGGTCATGGACTTTACACATCAACATACAGTATGACGTGCAAGGTACTCTGGGTGTGCTGGTTGTTGACGTCCTGGGACGCAGTGTCAACTACACCTTGTTACATGCATTGTGTGTTTTCAAAGTGCACTGTAGGAGGCCCTGGGGCAGACCCACGCTGGAGGTATTACATATCTTGTCTGCAGTGCTTAATTTGAGCCACAACGTACTGGAACGCATACCAGGATCTTTTCAGAAAATGCCCTGGTGCATTCCGGAACTAATTTGCATGGGTCTAGAACTTTTCACATCTAAAAACTACATACAGTATTGGCTGATGTCACTAGTGTTGCAGGGTGGAGTACTGTAGTGCTAGGGTGCCTCACGTACCACTACTGTGGGATAAGTTCAGAGTCCAATTGCAAGAGGGTGAGTGTCCATGTGCCATCCAATAACGGCACGCGCTGGTCGCCACCTGGCACTCAATATGCTGCTGTAGATGTTCCAGACATGTGAGTGTCTTTGAGCAGTGAAAATTATTATTTATTTCTTTTTACTTGTCGGCAGGGATTTGTTTTCCACAGAGCTCTACGTGCGAGCATTTTACTCGCATTTGCAACTAAAAATAGTTTTGTGCGAGTAAAATAAATCATTCAGCATGATGTGCGAGTAAAGATTTCAACCAGCAGCAGAAAGGAAAGGGGTTGAACAGGGGTCACAGACAGAATACGGTGGTCAAATAGCCTACGGCGGCTCCGTGGCGCAAGATAATGGCTTACTGGCAACAGAGAAGTCCGACTCCAGGTCCAGTAGCCTGCTTTCCTCTTTCATTGGCGTCATGACTGCCCAGTAGTACCTGGACAGCCGAGCCGTGGCACACAGGTATGTGGTGTGTCAGAGGAGAAACGAGTCCTTCACATTTCTCTCTTTGTGGCAGGTAACGGCCCACAAACCTCACCGCACTTTAGGGACTGTTCTTTACTTGTCAGGGGAGGAGGGTGGCTGGTTGATTTTTATTTTATTTATTTATTTTATTTTGATCCCCCCAATGTTAATCACTTACTGATGCTGTTTTTGAAGTATGAATAAGTCAATAAGTAATTTATTCCATTGAAATATCAGTGATGTATTATAGAAAAATGATTTATCTTTTTATAAATGACAAAAGGCACATCTGCCTCATTTTCGCTGTGGTATCCTGATACTATTCAGAACCATGATACTTTCACTGGTATTGTACCATGGGTCCCAATTTTGGTACCGTGACAACACTAGATGTCACAACCATTCCATTCGGAGTTGCGCAGTGAGGCAGCTTGGGTGCCGCTTAAAAAAGTGTTGACCACCGACCACCTTTGGGAGTGGGGGAACACTGCTCTCTCAGAGGCCCAAAGTGTTCCCCTACTTCTAATTTTACAAATTGAGCACTGCTTGTCTGGCCTGGGAACACCTCGGGATCCCCAAAGGGGAGCTGGAAAGGGTTGCTGGGGAGAAGGACGTCTCGAATGCTTTGCTCGTCCCGCTGTTCCTGCGACCCGACTTCAGATAAGTGGTTGAAAATGAATGGTTGGACTTCCATTTGTACAGTTTGCATACAGTCTCCTTCAAGATCAACACACTACATTGGGACAGCATCGCAAATTGATGTCTTTTCCTTCAACAATGGGAAAAAAAGTACAGGGTTTGGCTTGTAATCATACAGGCAGCAAACACAGGCCTTCAAGGTGAAAGGCGGTGGTTGTTGTACCCATCCACCACCACTTCCAACCACCTACTCAGACTTCCACCCCCTTAACTTATGTTGTTGTCCCGCGGCGTTTCCCCCGACACAGCCGGACGCCAGTAAACAATCATGGCGACCAGCTACATATCATGCTGATGTGAAAGGACGGCTTTTTTTGTCTGTGTTTGACACCAGAACTCTCTGGCCATGCTCCATTATTCGATGACTTCAGAGTGAGACCAGGTTGGTCATTCAGGCTTACATAAAGTGATATTGTGAACAACATTGTCCATGCAGGCAATACTTTGTCAACCAGGAAAACTACCATGGCTTTTATTTTAGAGACTGACATTGCTGTTTGTTTTGTCAGTTTACAATCATGGTCGCTGCTGCTGGCTGACAGATTACATGCCATTTAGACAGTTTTCATGGCCCTCGCTTTTAAGCAAAGCACTCGTGCACTGAAATGGAGTGGACCCAATCTAACGTTATTCCAAGCTGGTGCGTAGCCATGCCAACATGCTTGTTTTGCAGGGCTTTTAAGAGTGGAGCAGAGCAAAGTAAAAACAAACTATCATGTCGAGGCAATCTTGAGAAGACACGTCGATTTACAACAGCCTCAATACCAGTGTCTGTCTTGTCTATGGCGCTCACCATTGTTATTTCTGCTCATTGGTTCTGGCACTTGGCTTGACAGTATCTTCACAATGGCATTAGTCTCACCCATAGCTCTGATTGGCTCATTGAGTCTCACCTCAGCGTTAATTGATTGTTGTCACAATGCCAGATGATTCAGCCAACTCCAACTTGGTGGAGTGGGCGGATTCAAAGGTCCGGACCCAGGAAATGATTTTGTTTCTGTATGTGGGTGATGATAGAAATTGAAAGGAAGATAAAATAGACCACAAACACGCATTCATGGACACAAACACAAAAGATAACCAATAACTGAAGCCTATATGCCAAACATTTTAAATGTGAGGATTTGCCACTTTTGAAGACGTCACGCTAGGCTCTTTCATGTTTAAGGTGAATCCATGTGCAGAAATGAAAATAAAAAGTTACAGTATCAATGGAAAAATCTACATTTAAACTGTCTCTCCTGGTCATAATTAAGCATAGGACCACTGGGTTTAAACTTTACTGATGTAAAGCAATCCTTTGCAGCCTAAGAAAATACTCAAGGCCCTCTTTTAGTTTCTCTGCTGCGTTTTTTACATTTATTTTTGGACCACAGATTTCAAAATGTGCATTATGTATTAACTGTATATATTTTCTAACCCTCTGTGGTCTCTCCCTTCTCCAACAGATTGCCTTCTCTCAGCATAACAGCATCATGGACCTGGTGCAGTTCTTCGTCACCTTCTTCAGGTGAGTTTTCCCTCACTGTCTTATTTACTGTATGTTTTGTGCCGAGTGTGCAGCTGCTCCTCGCAGGGCTTTGCTGCTCAGCGGTTCAGGACCCAGAGGCTCTTTGCACAACTGGGCCATAACCTGGACTCATTGAGTTACAGTAGATGGCAGCAGCCTCAGGCAAGACACTTAACCCCCACCTCCCTGGCAATCTTCTGCTTCTGCTTAACAGCAACAAACAGAAGTGTTGGGCAACGTCAAGGTGTGAGTGTGGTTGCTGAGCACGAGCAGCAGTTTCTCAAGTGCTTCATTTTATGCTTCAGAAAATTGGGGGGCTGTTCAGGAGGAGTCAACAGGCTGAACAGATATGCTTTCTGTCTTAACACACCTTAAACAGTGTATATCCAGACAAACCTAAAATCGATAAGACTGAAGGACTGGACGGAGGCCATCATCAAAAATGCTCACATGTGCAGCGCACACTTCATATCAGGTTAGGGAAAAAGTATTTCCTGTTGTAGGGATGAATAAGGTTATGTGTATTAAGGGTTATCATGTCCACCTCATCAGAAACTGGGGAGGGATTAAGAGGAATATTGGATTTCTCTGGAACGCTGACTTTTTAGCACATTAGCTAACGTTAGCTTCCATAGCAAAACAAACAAGTGTGGTCCTCCTTTGTAAGATTGGCTTCCTGTGACATCATCCATCCACTGAGTGAGAGCATACGGGTCGGCCAGTCTGGTCCCGTTGGTCAGTGTTTACTTATTCAAGTAACACTGGCGGTCCCGGAGAGTGAGCAGTGTTGGGTAAGGGTTACTTTAAAAGTAATCAAAGTACATTACAGCGTTACTTTTTAAAAAAGTAACCAGTTACTTTACCGCATTACTCCCTGAGTAAAGTAACTCAGTTACTTTAAAAGTACTTCCAACGTTACTCCCTGAGAAAAGTAACTCAAGCACTTTTAAAGTACTTTTGAGTATTCTACATTTCCTATTGGGCAATGGACCACAGGGCGCTAAGCCTACATTTTTTTGTCTCCAAAATTAAAGTTATGGAACACTTGCCCTTCACTAAGATCCAAGTCTCCCATCACAGCCGTCACTTTGACCAGTAGAAACACAGAGCGATCTGCTGCCGTAGACAACTGTAGCTATGACAACAACACCCCAGCGTTTTTAATATTTCCTCTAGGGATGTTACCACACAGAGTAAAAGGGGGAAATGATGGTGTGAAACAGCAGAGGCACTTTGTCAACCCGCTGAGTTAACGTTACTGTCATTAGCATCAAGCTAGCAAACAATGGTACATCATCACGGTCGGACATAAAGCAATAACATTAACAAATAGCGGTGGGGCTTTTACTCACCACAACTGCAGAGGCTCCCAGCTTCATTTGAAACAAACTACATTATAGACGGTCCGTTATTTATTAATCCCTCTGTGTGTTTATATATTTACTTTTTATCCGCTCCGTTGTCTTTGTAAAGTTAACATATCGCACCGTCATTTCAAACTCAACACTTGTTTCAAATTAAAAGCCCCTTATAACCTCGGCTGAGAGAATCCCTCCATTTTCTAAATAGGCTTTTATTCTGAAACATTTGTCAGAACTTCCTGTGGAAGATACAGTAGCTTAATAGTTTACGTGTGGCGCTTCAAATGTAGCTCCTGCCATCTGCTGACGCTTTTAGGTGACTACAACAACATATCGGCTGGCACATGAACACACACAGTGACTCAAATAATAGTGAAAGTAATAAAAACAGGACAAGAATAACCCGATGACATCACACACGCCGTGAAAGACGACCGGGGATAATTGGTGTGTACCATTGTGTAGTGTGTACCAGGCATAATGCAAGTCCTGAGTCTGAAATATGTCTGTCAGCGAGTCCTGCTCCACCTATTTAGACTCCACCGTAGACAATAGCAGCATTTCTCCGACCACGTAGCGAGCCACAAGCTCCGTGGCTTCTTTCAGACTGATAGGTTTAACGTTATCTCCGTTATTAGAACCAAACGACAGCCGTTGCTGTTTCGGAGCTGGAGGACCAGCGTTCTAAAAGTAACGGAAGTAACTGATGTCTTGTTTGAAAATGTACTTAAGTATTTGATTACTCAAACAGCAAACTAACGCGTTAGGTTACTCGTTACTGCAAAAAGTTATCAAAGTACTCTAACGCGTTACTTTGTTACTTTGTAACGTGTTATACCCAACTCTGAGAGTGAGTGACCTGACATGGTGCGTTGGTAAATTCAGTCTGATGCTCTACACTAAAATGAGAGCCCTGTTGGTGGAAGAAACGGAGCGTTATATTTCTACATGAATGAACCAACGGTTAAGTTAATCATACATTCACTCCGCTCGGCGCTCTGCTGCTCCGTCTCCACAGACAGAGTGTCCAGAGTGCGCTCTGCCACTCTGAGAGTGCGCTGCTCTGGATAACCCAACGGTACATTCAGACAGAGCTCCCAATTTATGAATGGTCCAGTTTGTGTCAGAGTGCGCTCCCACAGACGGAGTACTCCCAAATCCACCACTCACATCATCTTCCTCCATTGTCTGAAACAAGCCAACAAAACTTGCTAGCTAGCACTAGCTAATGTCCCTGGAGAATTGTTTTACCTCCAGCTAAGCCCCGCCCACCAAAAATATCAAACTGTTTACTAACAGTAAAAGGTTTTATTAGTGTTTTAAGTTAGCCTGGCAAACATACATATTTTGAGTTTCAGTGGCAGTGGTGCTGTTTCTGTGAGATATGCTGCTGCACATAGCTTATTATCAAAGTTTATTAACACTGGACATGTCGTGTGTCCAAATTGCACCAAATTTGACGCAGCACATCCTTTTGTCCCCAGAAATCCACCTACCAAGTGTGAGGTACATCGGATGAGTGGTTCTCGAGATACATAAAGGACACAGCGACAGAGATTCCTGCTCTGTAGTTAGATTAATTCCTAAAAAGGTTTGAGGTGAATGCAAAAACTCAAATTTTAAAACCCAAACAGCCGGACAAACGGTCCATTTTTTTTGGACTGGCTGAGAGACGTTTGTGTTACAGCTCGCCGTGCAGACAGGCAGTGGATCTAATGAGGGAGTGTTTTGGGGAAGAAGTCTGGAATGAAGTCTGCTGTCTTCAGGCAAGATTCTGCCACTCAATTACGACACCGGACAAGTGTGTGTTTGTCTGTGTGTATGTGTGTGTATCCATCCCTGTGAGTGTGTGTGCGTGCACAGTTTTTCCTGTATATGTATGTGTCTCTCGCTGTGTGTTCAGGCTTGTGTGTGTGTGTGTGTGTGTGTGTGTGTGTGTGGGTGTCACTGTGCAGCCATGTGAGGAAGTGAGCCATTTTTGTGCCCAGGGCCGGCTTCCGGACATCAGCGACCTTTAGGCCAGCATACAGGGATGATGTCATCATTAGGGGACAGCGTCAAGTTTTGCCGGGAGAGTTCGGTGTTGTGTTTCTGCCTGTGTGTGTTTGTGTGTGTGTGTGTGTGTTAGTCACTGCTCTGTTTATGAGTTGCTCTCTTCTGCACTGCACCAGAGTCTCAGTGAGAAAAGGTTACGTGCTACAACTACAGGACTGTTTTTCTATTTGCTGGTTTATTTACTGCCCTCATTATATAATGTCATGTGCATGTTGTTTCTGTGCTGCAAAGGTATTCAGGTCTTTACTTATATAACAGTAGCATTACCACGATGGGAAATAAAACAAATCCGTTTTTCAGTTGTTACTCTAACCCTGCTTTAATCTTTTTACATTAAAAAATAATCTGTTTGTTGATTATTAAAAAAATAATCAACAAATCAGGGTAATCTGTGTAATAGGTGGTGACAAACACACACAAATTGACACTAACTCTGCAGCTTAACTAAGCTCTCCATCATATTTTAGCTCAATGTTTTGGCTGCACAGCTGATTAGCCCTCTGTACACAACCTGCCCTGCTCCTCACTGCAGACAGACACAGGTAAAAACAAGCTGGTGAAGAAAGTGTAACACTGAGCAGCCAAATATTTTCTCAAGAGCTGGTGGAGGCCAAGACGGAGCTAAAAGGAGCATGGAAATGGGCGGCAGGTGGACACCACGATGACTTCAATGGGATAATGCTAGGCTCAGCACCAGTTATGGCAGATTGTAACTAGCTTAAACTTCTCCTGGTCAGAATTCCCTCAGTGTTCATTGTTCAGGAGGTTTTTACTGGGAATAGACCTGAGCAAATGGACCCAACACATCCTCACTCCGGCCTCGTCACGTATCGACGTTTGGTCATGGACTTTCCAAGTCCACATACGACGTGCAAGGTACCCTGGGTGTGTTGGTTGTTGATGTTCTGGGACGATGTGTCAAGTTCTGCCTGTTATAGTCATTGTCTGTTTCCAAAATTTTGAAATTTACAGTTTGCATACAGTCTCTTTCAAAATAAAAGCACTACATCGGAACACCACTGCAAATTGATGTCTTTTTTTCCCTAACGCACGTGGTTGGTTGTAGGAAAAAAGAACAGAGTTTGGCTTCATAATCTTGCGGTCTGCGAACACCGCTCTCCAGGATGAAAGTCTGTGTTTGTTGGACCCATCCATTGCCCCTCCTGCCCGCCCCACTCAGACTTTCATCCCCTTAATTTTCTTTCTTGTCCTGCTCTGTTTCCGGCTGATGCCGCTGAGCGACGTTAAACCAGACGGCGACTGGCTACATATCACGCTGATGTGAAAGGACGGCTTTGTTCGTCGGTGTCTGACACCACAAGTCACAGCCCAAGCGCTGGATTTCAAAAAGAAAAAGCCAAAAAATGTATATTCATAATTGGTCCGACATCCCGTTGTTCCGATATGTGTTTGCCACTTTCTTTTTCATTTTAACCCACACCATGATCTTTTCCTGACCCTAACCAAGTGGTTTTTGTGCCTAAACCTAACCAGACCTTAACCACAGGGCATCATGATGATTTCAGAACAACGGGACTTCAGAACAATGGGTTTAATATGGTCAGAACAATGGGTTGTCGGAAT